GAAGAATTTGAAGATTTTTTATTATTTAAACTTTATTTAACTTATAAATTTAATGGTAGAATTTGGAGAAAATATAACAAAAAAAATATTGTACGTATCTTTCCAAGACCTTCATCCATAATTAATGGCCCTCAATGGGAAGAGTTTTGCCGCATGAAAGTTTTTCTTCACGTTCAGCATCGGGATCTTCAACAATTAACCGACAACAATTTGATTGCATGGTCAACTTTATATAGTCAGTATGAAGAAGAGATTAACTCAAACCCAATTGATTTGCTTGGTCCATCTATAGAAAACGAAGAAGAGATTATTGACGAAAGCGAAGATGAGCAATCTGATGAAGATGAATAGGAGGAATTTCAATTTGATTGGATGTTCTTAGCTGAGATGAGTCCAAATGCAAATATTGATAGTTCTTCAGAATTGGGATCTCAGAACATGGATCTTAATCATGACTGGATTAATGCTGCTAGACAACAATACTCTAGTAGTGATCTTGAAAATGCTGACAGCTTTGTACATCAAGCTTCTGGTAGTGATCAGATAGAAGAAAATGAAGAAATAATAGATTATCAAACATTAAATAAAAAGCAAGCAGAAGTTTTTAAATGAATAGAATTACATTACCATAGCATGCTTTCAGGACATCAAAAAGAACTGCTGAGGATTATTGTGATGGGAACCGCGAGAACAGGAAAGTCACATCTCATAAAGGCAATCAAATATCGACTTTGAAAGATGGCAGGAAGTAGATCTAAAACACCAGTACTTATAATTGCACCGACAGGAGTTGCAGCATTTAACATTAATGGAATAACTATCCATTTAACACTTAGCATTCCAATAATTACTGGTAAGCAACTTGAATTAGGTGGAGATAAGTTAAAAAAATTACAAGAGAAGTTGAAAGATGTAAAATACTTTATCATTGATGAGAAAAGTATGATTGGGCGACGATTGCTTGCTTTGATAGATATGCGGCTAAGACAAGTGTTTTCTGAACACAATAATGAACCTTTCGGAGAAAAATCAATTATTATGTTTGGTGATTTTGGACAACTACCGCCCGTACTTGATCTCCCCATGTACTGCAGTGTTCAGAGAGATCTGTTGTCTAATAGTAGCCATGCAGCATACTTACAATTTCGGGAGATGTATAAACTTGATGTTGTGCAATGGCAATTAGGAAATTCTAAAGAACAAGAGAGCTTTAGAAATATTCTTTTGTGGATGCATAATGGGGAATCTACTTTAGATGATTAGAAATCACTTACTACACGATTCGAAGAGAAACTGACTATAGAAGAGAATAACTAGTTTTTAAATACGACATTTCTCTCACCAAAATGGTCCGAAGTCAATGCAATCAACATAGATAAACTTAAATTATTGAATGTTCCTGTTGCAAAAATTCTAGCGATACATACAGGAGGTAATGAAGCCAAGAAGGCTAACTCTGATGTAGCACATGGTCTCGAAGCACAGCTCTTACTTGCAAAAGGAGCCCGAGTTATGTTAACTTCAAATATCTGGATAGAAGCAGGTTTAGTTAACGGTTCAATAGGAACTGTCCAAGATATTCTTTTTGGAGAAGAAGGTCCACCTTCACTTCCCATCGCAGTGTTAATAAATTTCAAAAATTACAAAGATCCCACAATTACTAATTTAGAAGGCCTCAAAGTTGTACCAATTACACCAATTCGACATACATGGGAAGGAAGATCAGGACGACAACTCTCAAGGCAACAAGTTTCTATTCGTCTCGCCTGGGCCATTACGGTTCACAAGAGTCAAGGGCTTACATTACAAAATGCTATTATATTGCTTGGCGAAAAAGAATTTGCAGCAGGTCTTTCTTTTGTAGTGATTTCGCGAGTACACATGCTTAATGATTTTAGCTTCAAAACGTTCAGTTTTGAGAGGCTCTAGAGGATTAAAGACTGTAAAAGGATCCAAGAAAGAAAAGAAGAAGAGAAGCGGCTTATTTCTATGGTACCAAGTAGATAAAAATTAATGTGAAATTCAGTAAGTTGGAAAAATGTCATTCAAATAAAAGTAAAGCATAAAAAAAAATTGAAGACGTATAAATGTTAGTTATCGGATGTAAAAGTGTATATAAAAAGAAGGTGTTATATTACAGATTGATCAGTATTTATTTATATATTGTGATAAAAGTTGTACAATGGTAAATATCAATTATGTAATAGAATATATTACAGTATTCTACCAATCAGAATTCATAAAAGCGGACGGAAGGACAATTCCACGTGATCTCAATGATCACAGTCTGTAGTAAAAACAGAGTGTTCTACACTATGCTCCGGACAATAATAAAGGCTTCTTACTCTTGAGGGAAGATATTCTTTTGCAATCTATATAAAATTCGTTTTCTAATATTTTTATACCTTATATACCCGATAAATAAAATACTTAACCCTAATCTACTGCTTAAGTGATATAAATAGTAGGTTTATTGTTTTTTCATGTATGTGTTAATTGTCAATTGTACCAAAACTCTGTCTAGTTGTTTCTCAATATACTGAGATCTTTCATGGTTAATATTTTCTAACTATCTTGATGTACTGTAGATCATTGTGATTATTGTTGTTCAGCTTTTCTAATATACCATGGATAGTTGTAATTTTTGTGCTATTCTTAAGTAGAAGATCTCAATCATGGTTTTGATTGAAAATATATTAAAAAAATAATATAAGTGTTGGTGTACTAGCAAGATTTGAACATAAGTAGAAGCTATACCTACGACTCTAAAATTACCACTTGCTAAATTTAAATGCCTCTTATTAACTAAGCCGATCATAGGTTATATGATGCTTTGATTCATTTAGCAACTAACTCTCCATTTTACTAGTTATTACTAACACTAATATAAACATTATAATAAAAATAAGTAGCTACACAATGCATTTGTATTAACCAGAATCAGAGAATGTTATATATAGATTTAAAAGCAAGCTTGAAATTGATCTGTAGGTCTTGATATAATTATAATAAGTTATGCAGTCCTTAATATAAATATAATTAATTTTATACTCTCGTTACTATATCAAGATTGCAGAGCATAAATTAGTTATACCTTGGGCACTACATGTGTAAGCAAGACTTTTAGCCTCACTTATACCCAACTGCCTAGAATATAACTATCATATATACTGTATAAATATAGTATTAAGTACATACTGTATTTATAAATTTAATTTAAATGGTTAGATAAAAAATTTTCTATACTTATATACTAATTAATTAATATGAATCCAAAAAAAAAAAAAAATTGGATAGTAAATATTTATAAACTTGAATACTATATCTTAATTTAAGTTTTTAGATTATTATTCTCACTTAGATTAATGTAAAGAAATGAAATAGTAAATATTTATAAACTCAAATATCTTATTTTAAATAGTTTAAAAAAAATTTTTTTATAAAACTAGATGCTTAAGCTGTTTAAAGTGAATTAAAGATAAGTGTACTATATCTGATATTATATTATATAGCACAATGACTTCATGGTTTAATTAGACCTTATGTCTGCTACAAGCAATAAAAGAACCTCATGTTTGGTGATTAAGTACCTCTATAAAAAGAAAGCCAAATTCTATTCAGAGTTTTTATTATAAAAATGCTTATTTTTTATTTTATTTTATTTTTTTTTAAGCAATTCTGCCTTTATTTATATGAACTGTTATATAATCTATTTACAAAAATACTAAATTCCTACAACTTATTGTTCTAACCTAATAAAGACTCACCAGGCTGATTACCCAGTGTGACCTGCTATAACAACTGTTTACCTCTCTTGGGATCCTTAACTTTCTAAGGATTTTATACCTTTATCTGATACCTCCCTTGGTTATAAGTAGGCTGTTGTATGCCTTGGTAAATTAGATTATTAATTTGTGTAAATTTGATTTGTAATTTGTATATTTAAAGAGAACCACTAGTTTTAAATTATTTAAAATATGGGTGACACAGTTTGGGGGTATGTAGGTTGCATGGAAAACGCCTATAGAGCTTTTTGCAAAAGGGAAAAAAAAACCGAAAAAAAAAAATCTGTAAAATTCATCGATCCAACTAAGTCGAAAAGAGCGATAAATTGTTAGTGCATACGTACGTATGTATATATTGTACGTCCAATTTCAGAACAAGTGTATAACTAAGGTCTTACTATGAATCATTGCACGAAGTAAACAAATAAATTTTAATTATTTAACGCATTAAAACTGATACAATTTTTATACGTATATATATATATTTTGGTTTAGTTTGACTATTTCGGTTAGTCTTAAGTAGGTTCTGATTGGTCTAATATGGGATGATTTGCAATTTTCTTTTCTAAGGTTAGTATAAGAAAATTATATGAGAATATATATATCTATAACAAGAAATGCGACGGGCAAATGCAGTGAGTTTTGTAAGATGCATAATTACTTAATGAAGGAGACATAACATAGTAATTAAAGTCGATAGGGATAACTTTAAATGTTAAGAGGTGTGATCTGCATATGATGTAATTAAAGTAAAAACATTTTGTACATAGTTTATTTTATATGATATACGTAATAAGAGCAAGTAAGTTTATATGTAAGGGGAATATTTTCGGTTATATAGAAGTATGTCAAAGTTAAGGAAATCATCTTTATGTGAAAAATAAGATCACAAAAGGAGTAATAACTGAGGTAAATAAGATAAAAGTAATAATTGTTTAGAATAATATGAATAAACGGGAATATAAGGATAGTATTGTATAACATGAATAAAGAGAAAGAAAATTTAAGTAGTAGTGAATTTTATAATTTTATAAGGGGTGTGATTGTGATTGAATTTTAAGACATTAAGAGGTTTTGAGAAAATAAAAAGTAGAAGTAAGTTAGGATAGTATAAAAGCTATTGTAAGTTATGTAACCCTCTAGAATGGATTAGAGATAGTCTATTATATTTTTCAAGAGCGGCAGTGGGACATTTGATGTAATTATAGTCAAAACTTAGTAAGTGAAGGCTTTTACAAATGTAGCACGGCTTATAGCAACATAAACTTGACCTTCAGTGAAAACTGTTTCATCGATACTACTGGGTCCTATGTGAGGATCAGTGGGTGAAGAAATATCAGCATGAGGTTCATAAAAACTTAATTCCTCCCAAACTCCATATTTTGCAATATGAGTATCTCTTGTTCGGGGATCACAGGGATCTTTTTCACCTTTATATATATAAACAAATAACTTTTTTTCAAGCTTTTGATACAGGTAATTTAATAAATATTTGATAACTCATTTTTAAAGTATTTTAAGAGTTATCCCTTAAATGGTATGCTATTCTAGGCAAACTTGACTGCAATTTTTTCTTTTGCTTCCTTATATATAAAATTTTGGAAAACTTAAAGTTTCGTGCAATAAAATTTTTACCACAAGTAATTGATCAATTTTGCAGATAGTTCAAACTTTAATTTTCATACTGTTATAAAAATTTCTAATATGTATAGATTTTTGAAAATCATTTATTTTAATAAAATTTCTAATTTCTCAAAATTTTTTATTTATTTTTAATTATCTTATTATGTTTTGACCATAACAATAAGAAATCATAATAAGAAATATAAAATTTAATATGAAAATAATTCCTATGACTTCATTTTTACAATTTGGCAATACAATTTTGACTCCCGCATAGGAATAGACAAGATATATATCTTTATATTATTATTATTATTATTATTTAAGTATATATTTAATAAAATATAAAGAAATAAGAAATACCAAATTTCTAATTTTTTTCTTCTCAAATATGGTAGTTTTTAAAACAGTCGCTTCTACCCTTACTACAACATAAAGTTATATTACATTTTATATAATAAATCTGCAACTGTAGTGGATTCTTGTCAATTTTTTTTTAGTATTTTTTTTTGTTAGGTTGTTTTTTTTTTGCTAAATATCTGCACCAAATGCAGCTACTTCTATTTTTTCTCCATTTAGATAAATTTCTATCTGGAGATAACCTTAATAAGAAAAGGTTAAAATTACTTGTTATATACTGTGTTATTGGAAGATTGATACCAATATTTTTGAATTATTATGCTAATTCTTCTACCTGATTTCATGTACTTGGTTTTATTGTCTAATTATTCTCTTTTATATCTGTATTAATCAATTCCCATATTAGATAAATTCAAAAATTCTTATAATTAATATTTTTACCATTTTTTTTAAAAATTAAGTAAGAATTGACAATAGAAGTATCTAGCAACCAAAAAAACAAGGACATCCAAGTTCTTTTTACTGGTAGTTGGACACCATAACACCTGCTAAGTTGGTCAGCTATATCTATTCTACCTGTGTAATGGTTATAATCATCAATTACATAAGAATTGACAAAGCTTTTTTACTAGTAATCCCAAAAATTAAACATACTTTTATAATATTAGTACTTATTTCTTGGGGCCAATGTTGAACTCTTTTAACTCTATTTTCATTTCTAGCAATTTTGTAAATAGTGGTTAGCATAATTACTGGACTATTGTCTATCTACAAAATAGCAAGAACACTATTAACTACTACTCCAGATAATGTATCACAATCTAACTTTTTATTTACTTTAAGTATTTTAAGAAATTTTGCACTATTTTTTTTTAACTGTTCCACAAGCTCCAAAATTATTATCATGTAAATAGTGAAAGAGATTAATAGATGAAAAAAATTATTCATATATATATCAAAAGATTTATTTAAAGATAATTAAAAAACAAATCAATTTATTGGACCCTCACTCCCCATCTATCACTTATACAAAATTTTTCTAACAAAAAAATTGCTAAATAATTAAATAACTCTAAATTTTATTAAG